AATTGTAAGTAATATAAATACTTTAAATATATATATTATTGACGAGATTACTAGCTAACATGTAAATTTTAAATCTTGTTTGTGTTGAAATATAGGTCGAGAAGTGTGAAGAGATAAGTCAAGGCTCATTCCAACCAAAAAGGCAAAATGATATATTGACAGCAGCTCTTGGCACCAATGAGTACGGTGGCTATGTGAGAGGTGTTGGAGTGCACTCCAATATTCGGGATGTGTTTGGTAAACCGGAGAGCATAAGTCATGGAAATTCAGCTGGGGTTGTTTCAGTTAGTGATATGGAGAAGATCATAGAGAAGAAAATATATGACAAAGTGGCTGAAAAGATTAGAAAAGAAACAATGGAAGATATGCAACCCAAGTTTGATTTGATGCAATCCCAACTTGAATATTTGATGAAGAATGTACAAGCAAGTCCAAAAGTTGGCACACCAACTCGGAGCAGTTGTCATTCTATTGATCAAGTCAACAAACTTAAGATAATATTCAATATCTTTAATATTTTGAATATCTGATATTCGATCTACTTGTTATTAAGTCTTTTACTTTTGATTCATAGGAAAATCTAAAACAAACCCGAATGATGAATTTTAAAAGTGGTGATCAATCTGCTGTACAATTACGACCACTTCTTGTTGATGATGATACACTGCAGCAATTGGGAGATAAATCTAAAAAATTGGTCAGACATGTTAGAAACTTGCCTTTCGATTTAGATTACATTAACATGGACCTAGAGGAGGCAATCTTCCATCATCAAGATGTGGATTTCATTCACGTGATGTTTCAAGATATTAAAGACATGTTGGCGATGCAATGGCTTGATGTGACCATATTACAAATATTTATAATGTAAGTATTTTTTATAATGTTTTTATATTTAAAAACTTTTCTTTAGTCTTTCATTTTTATTAATTATCTACATATGTTGTAGATGTCTTAATCGGATGTGCGACAAAATTGGAGTTAATACAATTGGATTCCTCTGCCCAAGGACTATTTGTTGTGACTCTGTACTTGCGGATATTGATAAGGTCACAAAATATCTTGTTAATGCCATGGTTGACCAGAAGGATCGAAACTTCAGTTTAGCTCCATACCATGAAAAGTAAGAAAACTAAATTTATATTTTTAATTATTTATTTAACTTAATTGCATTATTTGTGAATAACATTTAACATATTTATTTAAATGTCGTAGATATCATTGGATGCTTCTAGTTATTTCTGTTCCATTAAGAAAAGTCTATATATTAGACTCCCGTCCATGTAATCGCGAATTGGAGATTAAGGCCACGTTGAATGTGTAAGTACATTATATATATATATATATATATATATATATATATATATATATATATATATATATATATATATATATATATATATATATTATTTTGAGAATTATTAACCATTATTGTTTATAAATTATTTATAATTGTATATTATAGGGCATTTCGATCGGTTGAAACTTTAGGAGGGAGAAGACCTAAAAACAACGTTGATTGGACTCACATTGAGGTATATATATCTTTCATATTTCATATTAATATTTTTATTGTTTAACATAATAATATATATACATAAAAACTCATATTTTGTAGTGTCCTCAACAACCGGGTGGTGTGGAGTGCGGGTATTATGTGATGGGATTCATGTATGAAATATGTACTCAATGTTGGGATTCTGATGATTTAGATATGCTATGTAAAATTTATTAAAAGTAAATAGTTTTAAATTACAATTTATTAATGTTAAAACTAATTGTTTGATTATTTTAAATTTTTGTAGGCATTATTATTTAATAGAAAGCATTATTCAGAAGAGCAAATTGATGAGATTCGTGAGGTTTGGTCTAAATATTTTACTCAAGAATGTATATAAATTTTTGAATTATGATTTAATTATATTAGTTAATTGTTTGATATGTATTGTTGGTACTTATCTAGCTTATTACATATGTGGTGAAGTGTAGTTTAAATGTGTTGAAAACTTTGAAGTGTTGTGAATTGAATGTATTGAAGTTTAATTTAGTGCTAAAGTGTTGGTAATGATGTATTGATGAATGTATTGAAGTGTAGTTTACATGTGTTGAAAACTTTGAAGTGTTGTGAATTGAATGTATTGAAGTTCAATTTAGTGCTAAAGTGTTGGTAATGATGTATTGAACTTTAGTTGAAAGCTTTGAAGTGGTAGTGGCTGTGACTGCATGTACAGGATGAGAATAATTTTTTTTTACAAGAAAAAAACTGGATTTATTAACAAATTAAAATAAAAATAAAAATAAAAAACTATAATTCGCATCCAAAGTTCTTCAACTTTGGACGCGAATTATCATTTTATTAAAAGAAAATGATAAATCGCATCCAAAGTCGAAGAACTTTGGACGCGAGATACTGACTTTGCCCGTCCAAAGTTGACCAACTTTGGATCAGATAAGTCGCGTCCAAAGTTCTTCAACTTTGGACGCGATTTATCATTTTGCGCGTCCAAAGTAGCTTTGGACGCTGATTGTATATACAATCAGCGTCCCCGACATCTGCGTCCCAGCTACTTTGGACGCGAATTATGCTTTACTTTGGACGCGAATAATTGTTTCTGTACTAGTGTTTGATGTTGAGTATTGCTTCATATTTTCATTGAAGTCTCTTGATTGATCCTTATGATGTGATCTTGTGCAAGTCGTTGTACCCTTTGTGATACTCGATTGGGCTATTGATGAGCCTCAATCTTCTTGATGATGATGATGACTGTGTGTGATTATGATTGAGATTGGTGGTAATATTATTGAGCTTTGCTCTCGAGATCGGTGGTAATATTGTGACTTTGTAGTACCCTCGTGTACTTTGAGATTGGTGGTAAAGATTGGTGGGGGACGACGGTCCCAGGAGGAATAAGGTTGGACTCAAAAGTACAGGGTGACACTAGGAGGCCGGTAAAGGTTGGAACTAGTTATAAAGTCGGGGTAGCCATAAGGTTGGAGCCGGACATAAGGTTGGAACTATGGAACTTGAAACATGAAATTGTCATTATGTGATTGTGTGATCCCCTTGCTTATGAACATGTGTTTGATGTATTCTACCTTGTGAATGGTAGGGTGCATCTTGAGTTGTGTTGTCTCTTGTTGTTGTGGTTTGTGGTCTTGTTGATGTTGATGATCCTCGTTATTGTTGAGAGTGTGATGAGTTCTTTATGTTAATTCCCTCTCTTGGTTTTAAATGGTATATACTGTATTCCTCGGTCTCAAACGCTTTTGATTATATATATATCTATACTATGCTATTTAACGCGTATTGATGGGTTACCAGCATCATTCGCTGACCGGGTGTTATCCCTTATCTTTTACAGGTTTTGCTTAGTTGGAGCGCGCTAGTCGTTGTTGGTAGCTAGTGTAGTTCCCTTCCTCTAGTTGCTTTGTTTTGGGCCTGTGAGCCTTAGTTAGACGTGGCCTGTGTGCCTTAGACAATATACTGTTTTGATGGATTGTTGTAGACCTAGCCTGTGCACCCATGGTTTATGGGTGTGGCATAACGCTTTCCGATTTTAAATAGCTTCCGCTTTTGTTTGCTTTGATGATTAGTTTTTATCGTTGAATATTAAGTTTTAAAAATGTTGGTAAAATCGGGGGTATTACATGTAGCAAATAAGGTTTTAAGGAAACAGTATTTCGCTCGACTCGTGCTAACCACCAACCCGAATCATCCATTCGTCTTTCCCATAATTTCCATAAAATAATAATCTTTTTTCGTAGGATTATTATTGGATTTTCCAACCTTATTTCCTACACCTGTCAACAAATATATTTAAATGGCATGCATTAAATACAATGACATTTTGATTTTTTTTAATACAAAGTAGGTTGACCTGCTATATTTATATATTTATTTTTATGAATAAATCTCTAACTCATAGATCAGAGTGTTCTGTCTACCATTGTTCTGTGGAGAAGTGAATTGCACTTGAAGAAGACAGAAGCATTCTGACACGTGAATTAGAGATTTTTTTCTTAAAAATAAATCCTTTATATAATAAAGCTATATGGTTTGGGAAATAATTAATGTTACAATTAATGCCACAACATCCTTTATTATAAAATAAAATAAAAAAAGCACAACATTTAAAAAATAAAATAGCTATATATTATATAATCATATAAAAAATATACTTTTGAAAAATAAAATAGCTATATATTATATAATCATATAAAAAATGTGTTCAATTAGAGTTTAAATTTACACATACAAAATTTGAAATTTGCTTTCCAAATGTAATTATCTTAGTTATTATTTGTATTGTGAAAATTATAATATAGATGAAATACAATTAAGAATAAATCAATGTAATTATGTAAATTATCTCTATAAGTTTATTTGAATATGCACATAATTAGAGATTATATTAACCATACAAAATTTTAATTTTAATTTTAATTTTAATTGTAATTTTGTATTCTATAAAAATAATAAATACTTGACCAATGGAAGCTCAAAAATATTATTATATTAAATAATTTAAAATATTTTAGTTTTTCTATTTTTTATTTATATTTATAATAACATAATTTTTTTCCGTGCATCGCGCGGGTATATAAATATAGTGAATCAACTCACTTTATATCAAAAAATCAAAATATCATTGTATTTAATGTCACTTAAACATTTTTGTTAACGGATGACCAAAATTAATCAAGTCATAATTAATAATACTAGAACCAACACGATTATTAAAAAAATAAAAACAATGATTAAAAGTGAAATGACACCTATAAGTTTAGGACTAAAAATGAAATTAACTCTTTTTTTAATTATTCAAAACTTGAGAATATACCAATAATATCTAGGATTGTATTCAAGATTCCAAAAACAAAATGAGTGCACCAAATTTGTTGCACCTATATGTTACAATACAACAAACTTAAGTGCAATCTTTTTAAATTTAAATTCACAATTGTTTATCATCAATTATACTCTCAAGCTTTACATACCCATGTATCGCGTGTTACCACTATAACTTGCCTATATATAATATATATATTCCCACCCCCATGGACACCCCATCTATCCCTTCATCAAAATCTATTTTAACTCTTCCTGCCCCACTCCTCACCTAATTAACCCCTAAAGCAATATAATGCACAATGGCCATCAAAGGTATCCTGCCTGCAGCTGCTGAGAATCCTGGAGCACATGACGATGAATACAGGCTTCCAAATGGTGAAGAGCAATTTGCTGGTAATAATGGAAATTCCTCCTGTAAGTTTTCATTAGAAGACGACTGTGATGATAACTGTGTCGTAGATGATGATGATGATGAAGCAGAAGCAGAAGCAGAAGCTGCTGGGAGTGAAGCACAAAGCTCCATGGTCAGGAGCTTGTATTGGGAATCACAAGAGGCCTTGCTTCAGGTACTCTTATATTAATTATTTGATTAACTAGAATTAGTAACAATAATTGTTTATATTACTTAGTTTATTGTAAATAAGTTAAATTTATATATGTGTTTTAAAAAAATAGACTAAGCCGGTGTTTGGCAAATAGCTGTTAGTAGATTGGGTTAGCGGGTCTGATTAGCTAGCTTATATAATTAAATGATTGTAGAAAGATATTTGATAAATTAGATGTTAGTTATAGCTAATTACATGCAAAACGATCAAAGGCATAATTTATTTTCTCAAAAAGCTAATTAAAAAAACTACCCCTTGAACTTTTTTTTTTTTTTTAATTTTAGCATTTTGGAGCAAAATAAATTGTTACAAAAAGTTGATTAACCAAACACTCATGTTAATTATTTAATCAAGTTAAACAGCTAATAGTAGTCAAACAAGCTAAAATTGACTAATTAATAAGCTACCTATGTTACCAAACAGAGCCTATAAGTTTTACTCCTACTTAGTTAATTTTAAGAGCTGCAGCCGGACATAAAAATGATTTTGCAATTTTTATTGTAAGTTCATTATTAGTATATTGAAAGTTCATTTTTATTATATTGAATATTCATTGTCTGAAGGTTTATTTTTTGTATACTAGAGATTTATTTTTAGATATACTATAAAAAATATAAATTTTTATTATATTAAAAATGAATATTCAATATACTAAAATGAACATTTATCCGTGGTCAGTATTGTCATATGAACAATGTATATGGTCCATATATAGTATAATTTGTTATGATTAGAAAAGTTTAACATATATTTTCCATAATAAACATAGCCCCCACCCCGGCCATTCTAAAATATCAAGAATAGTATTGTCCAATTTGGGTGGGCATAGCAGTGACCTCTCCATTAAGTCTAAACCAATAATTTTAACTTTTTGGAAAATAAAATCAGGGTCTAATCCTTCACCAGTACCACATACTGCCGGTGACATTTAATAATTTAATAATATAATATAATCTCCTTTTCCTTTGATTGAGATGTTGTCTTTAATTATATTATTTCAGCCCGAAAAAAACGTTTGGTCCTCTTCTGGCTGCTACGATACATCTAGACCTCACCTGTCATTCTCAAAATTGGCCTAACACAATATTTGTGTCTTAACCTTTGGCCATATTTTCTCTTCTCCTCCCAAGTCCCATCACAATACTTAATCACCACTTGTAAGTGTGATTGTGAGTCTCCAATCCTCCAAGAAATTTTTGGCTGCTGGCTGGGGAGATACTTGGGCGTTGCTAGCTTCTCCCAAAAAGTTTGAATCCCCACCCGACACCCAACAGAGCATTTTGGAAGTACTAGATTAGGGTGACTTAATAGCTCAACAGACATAGTCAAATGTCGGTGAGCACAAAGGGTCTGTACACTCTTGCTACCGAGGTTCGAACTTTGATTTCTTCTCCTAAATGCTGCCTAGTGAACCAGCGTGCGGACAGTTACGTTGGTAGCTAGCTTGAGGTTTAGGATGTTCCAAACTTAATTAATTAGCTTTTTCCATTCTAGTTAATTTAATGAAGGAATGAACTAAGGATACAAATTCTTGAAACTATAAAAAGAATGTTTATAAGGAAGATAATTTACTAGACTAGTATCAACGTAAGGGAGGTAAAAGAGACACAGGCATTAGCTAGCATCGATTGAAAATTTGCTTTAAAAAGTGTCAATTCCACTTTTAAAGTTAAAAATATATCTATTTTTAGGGTTTATATATTAAATAAAAACAATCCCTAAACCATAGATTTATATAGTCATTTCAGTTCTAATCTTTTAGTTGTTGCCCATCTTAATCTTATAAAAAAAAAATGTTGCAATTTTTAATTTGTCTGATCTCTCGAACAATAAAATCATGAACTTTCAATAGGAAAAAAAAAAAAAAAAAGCATTATATATATTCATATGTAATTTCTACTATAAAAAAAAAAAAAAAAAAAAAAAAAAAAAAGTACTTACTCATTAAACATGAAATATGAGGCAAATCACAATGGATGTTCATGATTCAGTTGTTAAAGGGATGAAAATCATAACTTTTATGTAAAGTTAATTAAAGGGTGTATTTTGCAACAATTAAAGATAGAGATTAAAATAAGCTGTGTAATAAATTAAAGCAATGAAAAATGCATTTCACTTTTAACAAGTATTGGTGTTTAATTTACACTGTTCTATGTAACATTTGTAACATGCATGCATGATGCATGCATACAGCTTACATGTTAGATACATACATATACACGTACGTACACTAATTATAAAAACACATGCATACATGAATAATGTTTCAGGAAATTCTGGAGAATTACAAGTTGAGTGGCACAAAAGTACGAGAAGGTATATACAAAATCATAGAAAGGGTTACCACAACTACAAATAATTATTGTGAATGCCCTCTTCCAAGATTGGAGAGTTGTGCCAAGTGCTTGAGGCTTAGAGCTGTGAATGAGCTCCGCAACAAGGGATTCACTGCAACCCTTTGTACATCCAAGTGGAATCAAACAGACAAAAAGCTCGGAGGTAATTTCATTTCTTTCATCTAATTAACATGAAGTCAAAATTGAATGTAAAGATATATAGCGTTTCATCTCAACTAAAAGTGTACATCATGGTTGACGCGAGTGCTTTAATACCAAATTGAATTATGTATTCTATTTAGGATTAAGTGTTTACTACTACACCAAAAACTATAGCCCACATAGCGAATGTGTAACTTTACTTCCTTATATACCGCCACCACATTTTCGAGATGAAGGGTTTTGGGCTTGGCCCTTCACCGGCCTCCGCCCAACAATTTCACCTCACAACACCCTCTAGTCTTAACTGCACATATACTACTTGTTACTACGCCGAAAGCTATAGCTGATCACAACAAAGGCACAATCACATTTTCGAGAGGCCGGCAAGATGCTGGATTTAGCCCTTCGTCCAACAAATCTTAACTGCACGGATACCACTTGTTAGAATCATATGCGCTTACTACTAGGCAAAAAACTATAGCTCACCGCGAAAACACAACTTTATTTCCTTATATATCGCCACCACATTTTCTAGATAGAAGTGTTGAACTTCCCTTCACCGGCATCCGCCCAACATTCCTTCTAGCCACCAATTGTTAGACTTAGCTTGGTCCCTGACCAACCTCAGCCTAACACATCTCAACTAAAAATTTAAACGAATAGTATTCGAACAACTACAGTCCGGGTTAATTATAATTTATTTATTTATATATATGATGCTCAACATTTTGACTAGGAATGATCGTACAATAATGTATGTGTTTTTTTGTGTTTTGTAGGAAGACATGAATACATAGAAGTGATTGTGAGCACACAAGGGAGGAAGAAGCAAGTTCCATTGGTGATAGAGTTGAACTTGAGAGATGAGTTCAAGATGGGAAAATCATGTGAAGAGTATTGCAGAATGGTAGAGCAATTGCCACAAATGTACATAGGCAAAGGTGAGTACTTGAATGCGATTGTGCGTGCAGTGTGTGATGCTGCCAAGAAATCAGCGTCGGAGCAAAGGATTCACATAGGGCCTTGGAGGAAGACCAGCTTTATGCTTATGAAATGGTCGCCGGCGGCGGCTTCGCCGGTTGAAAAGACTACTTCCGTCGCCGGCGCCCATCAATCTTCGTCCACTCAACTTGTAATAATGTCGCCAAGACAATGGCACGCAAGTATCACATCCGGGCTACAATCTGTCACCGGAACAACCGTCAAAGTTGCATAGATCATCACATATATTTTGATATAATAATAATAATAATAATAATAATATATTGTAAAAGTATGCAAGTCGACTCTTAGGGCATCCCAAGTTAGGGCTTCCACATTATAAATTCTTGGTGTGGTTTTTAAGAAAGGAAGACCGGTGTGGAGGAGAGAGAAGCTTTTGGATTTTTGCAGAAGAAGAGGTTTTTGAACCGAACATGCGGGACCACGTGGAGAAATGGCAGCGTTTGTTCATGCATTTAGCGCACCTTGCACGTAAAAGCTTTGTTTTAATTTTTTTGTGAGACTTGCTTTTCTTTTCCTTTCTTTTTTTCTTCTATTTTTTAATCACACCTACAAAAACTTCATCTATCAAAATTACAACTACTAGGGATGCTCTTAGTAAGAGCACAAGGTCATTAGTTTTTTGGTGTAACTTAAAATTTTCTGTGATTAATTTTCTCGCTAAATTGTAAGCACCTCAAAAGTGAGACACTGAGTTTGAGATTTAAGGCTGACACAAAGTCATTAATTGAATCTGCAGTCAATGTTACGTTCCCAAGTTGAGTGCATTTTTCTCATATTGTTACTAAGAAATGCTTCATTTTCCAACTAGTCTTTTAATTGTAATTTGCTGATCTTGGAAGGGATGAAGTTTATTATATTGGTGGAATAATCTTACTGTTAAGAGATATATGAATTGTATGTTTTCTCTCTTCTTCATTACAGAGGATGTACTCCTGTATATACAAACTATAACAGGGCGTTTGGTTGGAGGGATTTAAAATTCCCTTCCCACTTAATTCCTACCTAATTCCAAAGGCCATTAAATTCCGTAGTTTGGTTGGAGGGAATTGCAATTCCCCCATTTTCATGGAATTAAAATCCCTTGTCCCCCTTGGTATTTTAATTCATGGGAAAAAAAGATAGTGATGAGTCAAAATTACCCCTTCTTTTTTTAACCTAAAATTAATGTCTAACAACAATAATGGACATTTTTGACTTTATACTGCTTATTTCCTTTCAATTTCCATGTATACCAAACATTGGAATTGAAATTCCCAGTAATTCTATTCCTGTCAACCAAACACAGAAATTTAAATTCCCACTTTATTCCCAGTAATTCAACTCCCATGGAATTACAATTCCTTTCCCACATAATTCTCTCCCTCCAACCAAACGCCTTGTAACAGGGCATTTGGTTGGAGGGATTTTAAATTTCCTTCCCACTTAATTCCCACCTAATTCCAAAGACCATTAAATTCCGTAGTTTGGTTGGAGGGAATTGCAATTCCATGGAATTGCAATTCCCCCATTTTCATGGAATTAAAATCTCATGTCCCCCCCTGGTATTTTAATTCCTGGGAAAAAAAGATAGTGATGAGTCAAAATTACCCCTTCCTTTTTTAACCTAAAATTAATGTCTAACAACAATAATGGACATTTTTGACTTTATACTACTTATTCCCTTTCAATTCCCATGTATACCAAACATTGGAATTGAAATTCCCAGTAATTTTATTCCTGTCAACCAAACATTGGAATTTAAATTCCCACTTTATTCCCAGTAATTCAACTCCCATGGAATTACAATTTCTTTCCCACATAATTCCCTCCCTCCAACCAAACGCCTTGTAACAGGGCGTTTGGTTGGAGGGATTTTAAATTCCCTTCCCACTTAATTCCCACCTAATTCCAAAGGCCATTAAATTTCGTAGTTTGGTTGGAGGGAATTGCAATTCCCCCATTTTCATGGAATTAAAATCCCATGTCCCCCCTGGTATTTTAATTCCTGGGAAAAAAAGATAGTGATGAGTCAAAATTACCCCTTCCTTTTTTAACCTAAAAATAATGTCTAACAACAATAATGGACATTTTTGACTTTATACTACTTATTCCCTTTCAATTCCCATGTATACCAAACAATGGAATTGAAATTCCCAGTAATTCTATTCCTATCAACCAAACACTGGAATTTAAATTCCCACTTTATTCCCAGTAATTCAACTCCCATGGAATTACAATTCCTTTCCCACATAATTCTCCCCCTCCAAGAATACAAGACTATATGAAGGTAGAAAATATTTGCTAGAATGAATACGTGATTTCTTTTTCTTAAGATCCCCCCTCAAGTTGGAGCATGTAACAGAGAAATGTCCAACTTGGGAATAAGAGACTCCATGCGTGTCTTGCCCATCAACGCCTTTGTATGAATATTAGCTAACTGTTGTGTCGTAGACACATGCACCGTTTGTATTACACCCTGTAAAAGCTCATCACGAACAAAGTAACAATCAACCTCGATGTGCTTTGTTCGTTCATGGAAAACTGGATTCGCTGCAATGTGAAGAGCAGCGGTACTGTCACAACGAATCTTCATAGGAGCCGTATGGTGATGGGATACTTGCATAACGTGTCAGGCGCTCCAATAACTATGTATGTTACATAATCTGCAAGGCGAACACTAGGAATACGTGTTCACCATCCTCTGCCCTGTGCATCGGGGTCAGCAACTTGATCAAGACTCGGATAAACTAGAACAGGGACTGGAGCCTCCGGGGCTGCCATCCCGTCTCTGCCGGCAGCAGTACTGCCCACCTCCGCGACTGCCACCTCGTCTCTGCCGGCAGCAGTACCGCCCACGTGCAAGTCGCCAGTCTGGTTTGCTGGTTCGGCGGTTGGCCTGGCACCGGCTGCAGGCCAGACAAGCTCCACGCATTCCTCTCCTTCTTTGGGGATGAGGTTGTCCAGGCTAGGAAGTGGCGACTCCGAGTCTTCTTCTGTTTCTTGCGAGAAAGGGGAACACATTTTCCGAGAAAATAACATCTCGTGAAACAATAATTTTTCCTATGTGTGGACAATAAACACGCCACCCTTTCTGGCTAGGAGGATAGCCAAGAAATGTTCCAGGAAAAGTCCGTTCAGCAAATTTATCTCCATGTTGCTTCTGATTATGCACAAAACATCTACAACCAAATACACAAATGTAAGATAATGGTGGAGCACGTCCATAAATTTTCTCAAACGGAGCAACCCCCTAGCAATGAAGAGGGTGTCCAATTGATGAGAGATATGCCGATGTTTGAACACACTCGCCCCAAAACTTTATTGGTAGAGAAGCCTGAAATCGGAGCGCCTGTGCCACATTGAGAATATGACGATGTTTTCGTTCAACCCTTCCATTTTGTTGAGGCGTGGAAACACAAGATGTTTCATATATTGTTCCGTGTTCATGGAAGTATTCTTTCAACCCTTCAAACTCTGTCCCATTATCACTCCAAACACACTTGACATATTTTTCAAATTGACGGGTCACCATAGCACAAAATTGTTGGAAAATAGGACCACATCACTTTTTGAGTGCAACAAATATATCCAAACTAGGCTGGGCACTTCGGTCTTCGGTTCGGTTTTTTCGATTTCGGTTTTTCGGTTTTAGAAAAGTTAAACCATTCGGTTTAACATTATAGTTCGGTTCGGCTTCTGTTCGGTTTCAGTTCGAATTTAATTCTATTCGGTCTTCGGTTCGGATTTAAGACTTTACGATCCCCAAATTTCAACATTTCCTAATTTTCCAAACATACTACCAAACAATACCTATTCACATAATCCACATCTAAAATCTAAACGTTATATAACAAAATAGAAATTCAAAGTTTAAACATACTACTAAATACTAACATCACATACTAATAACAATCTAATTACCAAAACATCACATACTTAGAATCCAAAGTTCAAAGTTCAAAGTTCAAACATTACAAACATGAAGCATCACATAGTTCAAACTTCAAATCCAATGTTTAAAGATTACAAACATAAAACATCAAATAACCCAAATCCAAAGTCTAATATCTAAATATTAGATACCAACATAACAATTCAAACACAATCAACATAGCAATCCAAATTCCAAACTCTTATGTTGTTAAGTTGTTCATCCATCATCACGGATCAATATGAAGTTGCCCTTCTCTGTACAACAAAACAAAAGGTGCAAAAACAAATTAAAGTAATAAAATATTGAAGCATAAACTAATATAATATATATTATATATAAATTCATAATAAAATATAGAATTGTCACTTACCTTCTGCAAGCATATCCATAAACTGAGTTTCTTCTAATATCTGAGACAGGCTTACTGTTGCATCATATTGGAGTGAAAACCGCAACCAATCTTGTGTCAAAATCAATGCCTCTAACATATACGGTGTCAAATAACTCCGATATTGGTCTAAAATATGGCTTGAAGTGCTAAAAGCAGACTCTGATGCAACACTAAAAACTGGAATTGCAAGAACATCACGTGCCATTTGTGACAAGATTGGGAATTTCATACTTTCTTTCCTCCACCATGACAAAATATCAAATTGCATACCCAATCTATTAGGAGTTGGCCTTTCAATCTTTTCCATCAAGTATATATCCAACTCATTTGATGTTTGTTGCACATCTCCTTTTTCACATATCATATTGGTGGCATACGTGTTAAAAATACTCCCAACAGGTGCGACATCACCAACATCTAAAACCAATTCACTAGTTACAAAAGATTGAATTACAGTCTCACATCCACTTTCACTTCCACCACCACTTTGGCTTGTAGTTGCACTTGGTTTAGCATAGAATGCACTGTATACCTCATACAACTTACGCATGATATCCATTACTGCTTCTTTCATTTCACAACATTTTGGTGTATCTTTGCCATACAATTTTTCAAAACAAATTGTCACAAAATTCATCTTGCTCCTTGGATCCAATACACTACTAACAATCAACAATTTATTTATCTCAGACCCCTCCCAATACTTATCAAACTTAATCTTCAAACTCCCAATCAATTGATGATGGCGGCCCAACCCTTCTCTTTCCATTTTCATCCTCTTTAAAGTAAGCATCATACAATTTATCTTCATTAACCATTCGATCAAATGTTGCCTTATACTTGAAAGCTGTAGTCAACATGAGGTAAGTAGAATTCCATCTAGTATTGCAATCTAAAATCAAACTCCCTCTGCTTAGGTTATCTTGCTCTGCACGTATGTGAAATGCTTGAAATCTAGAATTGGATGATCTCACGTACTTCACTGCATTACGAACACTAACCACACTATTACTCATCGCTACCAAACCATCATACACAATCAAATTTAAAATATGTGCACAACAACGCACATGCAAAAACTCTCCACCCAGTATCAAAGGATCCTCTCTCCAACACTTCACTTTACTTTTGAAAATCCTAAGTGCACTATCATTAGCAGATGCATTGTCAACTGTGATAGTAAAAACTTTGGTGATACCCCAATCAATCAAACAATTCTCAAGTTCTTTTGCAATTGTTTCACTTTATGATCTGAAATTGGTTTAAAACTGATAATTTTTCTGTGCAACTGCCAGTTCACATCAATATAATGAGCAGTGATAACCATATAACTGACAGTAGTAGTACTTGCAGTCCATATATCATTAGTTAAAGAAACCCTTGACTCACTAATCATGCTCTTCAATAAAGCTTTTTCTTTCATGAACAATTCAACTACATCTCTTGTGATTGTTCTTCGTGAAGGGATAATAAATTTTGGACAAGCAACACTACAGAATTGTTTAAACTCATCCCGTCCACAAAACAAAATGGCAATTCATCCAAAATAATCATCTTAATAGTTGCCCTCCTACAAGCACTTGATTAAACCCAACCGCCACAATATTACTACTACCACCTTTAACAACACTTGCACTTTCATGTATTGTTAGATTCTTTTGAGTTGCACTATCAAGATGGTCCTTAAATGCAACACATCTTTGATTATGTAATTTCAAGCTACTAGTGTCACCCATTGTTGCACACTTAAATTCTTTATGGCAATAATTACATTTATATTTATCCATGTTGTCATCCAATCTAGTAAAGTGATTCCATACCTCAGACCTTGGAGCAATTGGTTTCGGTGGAAAACCCGAACGTTTTCTTTTTTGTTCCACTGATTATTCAATTGGCAAAGTTGGAGTGCTACTTGGAGTGTCACTTGGAATGTTCCCTTGATGCCAAGATGAAGAATCATCCATCTGCATTATCAAATTAGAATGTAAATGGGTCATCCACTTGAAAGGTAAGTGACTGGAGTCATTCTAAATTCCCCGTCACACTGGAATGAATTAATTCCAGTGAACTGGAATTCCAGTTCACTGGAGTATTCCAGTGAATTGGAATTTAAGTGAACTGGAAGAACTGGAATGCCATTCCAGTTCACTAATGGAATTATTGAATTAAATTCCAGTAGTGAACTGGAATGAAATTCTTGAATACAAGTAGTCAAGTACATAACTATGCAAGTCAATAAAGTCATATACAACATTAGAACTTACAAGTATAGAATATAATGAAATTGAAATTGAAATTCTAGAACACTAAGTCTAAATAAAAGTCCTAATTCAAAATTCAAGACTATTCAAATTGAGATAAGAAAATGTATAAACTATAAACTATAAAACTAAAAAATATAAAGTAGAAAAGGCAAACATTACCTTGGTCGCGGGTATCCTTCACTTTAGCTATGGTCTGAGGCTCTGAGCCAAGGGAGGAGCCGAGGAGGCGTGGCGGATGGCGGTGGCGTGGCGGTTGGCGGAGGCATGGCGGATGGCTGATGGCGGAGGGCGAGACGGCGAGGGGTGAGATGTGAGGTTGTGACTCGTGACTGTCGAAAGATGAAACTATGAAAGGGTGAAAGAAAACTGGTTAGAAACTTTAGATCTGAAAAAATTTAATAGTTTATTATTAGAATATTAGTTATTATATATATATATATATATATATATATATATATATATATATATATATATATATATATATATATATATATATATATATATAATCGCACTCAGGTGCGAATGCTTTGCCCAGGAGCGAAATAGGAATGAATTCTGTCCGTCCACGTGTCCAGATCTAATGGATGAGAAACACTGATTTTTTTTAAAAAGCGCGGTGGCATTTTCGTAAATAATTGAACATCGAAGTGCAAGTAAAATGTATTACAAGTGCATGTAAAATGTATTATAGGTGCAAGTAAAAATTTACACTGAGCATCAATACTAAGTGCACCTATAGTTATAAATAGTTGCACGTATAGTTCTAAGTAGTTGCACATATAGTTATAAGTAGTTGCACCTAGGTGCATGAATAGTTGCATATATATATATATATATATATATATATATATATATATATATATATATATATATATATATATATATATATATATATATATATATATATATATATATATATATTTCAAAAAAATCGATCGGTTTGGTTGGTTTTTAACCGAACCGAACCGATCGGTTTCTCCTTACCGAGTACCGATCGGTACTTCGGATTGAAACTGAATCGAACCGAACCAGTTCGGTAATCTGAACCGAAGTGCCCAGGCCTAATGCAAACTCCGCGAGAATGATCATCGACGATTGTCAAAAATAATGTAGATCTATTGAGACTTTGTGTTTTATACGGACCCCATAAATCACAATGCACTATGTCAAAAATTCCACTAGAATTATGAATGCTAATATGAAAGCTAGCACGTAATTGTTTAGCGCGTACACAAATCTCACAACATTTATTATCTAAACAACTGTTCTTAACAGAGCCTGCTAAAAGAACAAAAGACAAAACACAAGATGAGGGGTGTCCAAGACGTTTATGCCATAAATCAAAAATATGCTCCTTAACCGCATTAAACGCTTTTTGTTTTCCATCTTGTTTGAAGTAGTAAAGTCCCTCTCTATGTTCACCCACATCAATCGTTGTCTTTAGGTCCTGTAATACACAAGATTTGTCTGTAATCCGTGCTTCACATTTCGAGTCCTTCGTCAGTTGGGAAACAGATATCAAATTGCAACTTAAAACAGGAACAAATAAAACATTCATCAAAATTAAATTGTCCGTCAAACAGACCGTTCCTGATTTCACTGATATTACCCGGCTTCCATCTGGAAAACCAATGTTACAAGGGTCTGTTTGCTTAATATTACTCAACAAATTAATGTTCCCTGTCATGTGATTTGATGCCCCTGTGTCAATAATCCAGCGAGGTAAAGAAATACCTGACAACGATTCGTTCAAAGTTGACCCTGTTGGAGATAAAGACAAGGCATGACGAACTATATTCCATTGCTCGGGAGTAAGGTTTTCGAAGTCCGGAAGAGCGGTGAAAGACGCGCCGGTGGCTGTGGCATGTGTTGTCACCTGTCCGCCGGCATGCTGCCCGGTTATGCCGCGACCGTCGTTCCTGCCGGCTTTCCCATCGTCGCGGCTGCTGCCACGGCCTCCTCCACGGCCACCACGTCCTCCGTTCCGACCACCTGACCATCATTCCGGATAGCTAATTAGCTTAAAGCATGTGTCAATAGTATGTCCGGGCTTCTTGCGGTTGGTGCATGTAATCTCCTTGATAGTGGCAAATACTGCAGCATCATCGGTGCCTCCTTTAATACCACGGACCGTGACATGAGCCGTCTCTTCCGGGACCAAAATATTATAAACCTGACTCACAGTAGGTAGGGGTTCAAGAGACAGGAGCTGTGAGCGAATAGAACCATACTCCCCTTCGTCAAGGCCCATCAAAAATTGATGAACACGCTCTTCTTCACGTTTTTCGGCTAAAGCAGCATCAATTTTGCATGTGTAATTTTTACACACACAAGTAGGATAACGATCCACATCAACAAGATCGTCCGCAATTTCTTCATTTTACCATAATAAGCCATTATGGTGAGACCCCTTCGTTTGACCTCCGTCAACTCGCGCTTAAGTTGTTGAACCCTTGGCCCATTAATGACAGAAAAACGAGCCTTCAAATCATCCCAAAGAGTATAAGCAAGTTCAACATGAGATATCGTGGAACGCAACGTTGGTTCAATCGTGTTACGTATCCATGATACCAACAATGAATGATTCGTCCACCAATCATCCACATCATCAGAATCCGGTACAGGCAAGGGTATAGATCCGTCAATGAATCCAAACTTCTTCCGGGCACGAAGAGCAAGTCTCATAGATTTAGACCACTCATCGTAATTATCTCCTTTCAGAACACCTTGGGTTAGAAGCATACCCGAGTTATCACCGGGAGAAAGATCGTATGGAGAGATACGATGACGTCGTACCATCGTGACATTGCCGTCTTCGTGGTGAGCATCCCTCTTGTCGACGTCGGCGTCGGCGACCTCCTTGTCTGTCATGGCGGCAGCAGCGCACGGCAGGAACTTTGCAAGGGGAGGGCGTCGATCAGAGTACTAGCTGAGACTAGATTTAAGTACCTGGCTCTGATACCATGTTAAGAGATATATGAACTGTATATTTTCTCTCTTCTTCATTACAGAGGATGTACTCCTATATATACAAACTATAAGATAAAGAAAAGGAAACAAAATCAATGAGAATAATAATCAACCAAGAATACAAGACTAAATGAAGGTAGAAAATTTTTGCTAGAATGAATACGTGATTTCTTTTCCTTAACACTTAAGGTATACATGCATGCATGTATGCCATGAAATTTTTAAATATTTCAATTGTTCATGCCCATACAAATTACAGACTATAATGACCACTAGCCTTTATAAGTTAAGATTACATTGGGAATTAAACTAAAAATGAAGAATTTGTATAATGTGTTATATGTTTGATAAAATTATTTCATGTGTTTTGTTTTAAATATAAAGGAAAGAGTAAAAAATTTTAATATTAAATATATGTATGAGACAAATTTGATTAATTAATTTTTTAATATATATAATATGTGGAAAAAAAATCAAATAACTAGATCATTACGGGGCAATTAATTACAATGAGGGAATTAAGGGAGAGCAACAGATGAATATGACTTACTAGAGCGCAGCACGAAGAGAACTAAGAGAGTTGAAGATGCACCAGAAGGCGGATCCAACACTCCGATGGCAGTAGAAAATCAAAAACCCCCCAGTCTGAGAGGGGTGACCAGCAATAGGAGTTCCTTACTCCACCAACGGCTATGTACAGGCAAGCTTTAAGAGGATTACGCACTACTCGCTCGCATGAAAAAACGACACAAGATGATGAAGTCTCTGAAGATGAGGAAATGCGTGAAACCAGCAATGACATTATGTGTCCCCTGATAACAGTTTAAAGAGAAGAGAAAATAAGATTGAGGAAGCCTTGGCGCTGCTCTCTGATCGTTCATGTTCTTGGACGTTCAATAGGATATGCGTATCATTTATGAAGACTTCAACACTTCTAGAAGCCCAAAGCGCAGATGGAATTAATAGCATGGAGCACGATTATTTCTTGGTTAAATTTGAGAGCCAACAGGATTACGACTTCGCAAGATTCGAAGGACCCTGGATGAGAGCCGAACTTCGACCCATTGACGAATAAAACAGAAAAACTGCTAGTCTGGGTAAGGTTTCCATCTCTTCCAATTGAATACTTCGATGATGACTTTTTGAGGAAGTGTGAGATTAAAGTGTCAGGTATATCTGTTCCAAAATTATGGTGTGATAATCTTGGTGCTACTTATATGTGTGTTATCTTCCATGCTCATACCAAGCACGTGGAAATTGACTATCACTTCGTTCGAGATAAAGTTGCTTCTGGAGACATTAAAGTTAATTTTATCTCCACAAAAGATCAACTTGCAGACATATTTACTAAAACTTTACCTAGTCCTAGATTTTCTTTTCTTAGAGACAAACTACATGTTACTACTTACTAGTATACCATGTGCTTAGGAGAAGTATTAGGACTAGTATTAAGACTCTATGTATTTGAGTCACATTATGACTCCTATCCTAGTTTCCCTATGATTCTCTCTTGTATATATTCCCTCGGTCCGTACAGTTGTAATCAGTGTTAATCTAATACAGTTCAATAAGTTCTCATCGGTATAACCACACGATTTAGAGTTGTTTAAGGGGATTATTGTGTAGTTTCATACCTTATATTATTTTAATAATTTTTGTGTTAATATTATGTGGGAAAATCAATTTATCAATCTAGTAAAGTAAAAAATTAGAATAATCAAAAAATTTTGACCAAGGGCATCCTCCAATACCAAAGAATGAGACGAAAAGAGGAAGAGAAGGGAAGGGAGATTGATTTTTGTGGAGAGATTGTTCTCTTCGAAAAAACCTATACATAAACATGCTAGTCACACGCCATTTTGATGAGTAGAGAATGTGGGATAGTTGTTTCCAAAAAAAAAAAAAAAAAAAAAAAAAAAAAAAGTCTCACTAAGATTCTGTTTTGTTTGACCTCAATGGTTATTTGCTCAATGAGTTCAAATTATTTTTTCTACGGGGTATATTTTTTAGTTTTTAATTTTTATTCCTTTTTAATTTAAAAATTATTATATTGTGTTATTTAAATTTTTTATTTAAAATTATAATTATAAAGTTGAAATTATTAATTATTGGAAAGTGAATCAAATGCTAATAACCGTGTGGTCTAGTAGCATGAAGTGATTCTTCTAAATGAGAGGTTAGAGTTCGACTATTCGAGTGATATTGACTCTTTGTGCTTCAATACGTTATTCTGTGTAAATTTTTTTGGGTATACCTAGGGGTGTAGGGGACCTGGAGATTTAAAACTTCGGTTAACGGTTAATTCGGTTCAAAAGAATCGGTTAACCGAATTAACTGAACAGTTGACCGAAGTTTTTAATATATAAAGGTAATCTTAGAAAGGTAATTGATGGGGAATATACACCGGCCATACGGGTCGACCTTCTGACCCGGCCGTCCTGCCCGGTCGTGTACGCAAACGGGCACTTGCCCGTTTGCCCGATCAGTCCCTTAGCAGGGGCGCCTCCGGAAGGCCCCCGAGCTCTCGACCGGGAACCGGGATGTATAGCCGCCTGGGATATGAGCCTGACAGCAGCAGAAGCCTCGCACCACGTGGACGGTCGCATGCCTGCCTCCCCTCCACCCGGTGCATGCGCGCCACGTGTCCGACATGCCGGGGGACCGGGCGCAGCTCCCTAGGACCCTTATAAATACTGCATTAAATGCTAGAGAGAGGGACTTTTGGATGAGGTGACTTACTAGATTAGAGAGGATCCCGGTCATCATATACGATCGGTCTGTCTGTAACTCTATTGTAACCTACACGTATCAATACACAGCGATTTTATCCACATCAGTAATGTTGGATTACCATGTTTAATTTAGGTAATCTGAGATAGAATGTAATATAAGATTACTGTCACGTAAAAAATGGGGATATATTTGAAGTAATCTGATTACCAAATTTTATTTAAGTAATGTGAAATTACTTTTCAATATTCCAAAATTGCTCTCATTTATACCTCATCAGACAGAGATCAGACGGTGTTGTACAGTTGGTTTTGGATGGACTGTGCTGCATGTTTGTTATTACAGGGATGGCCTAGTGTTCTATGGTTTGTGAATAATAATAATAATAATAATAATAATACTTATTATTATTATTATATTATTATTATTATTAGTAATAGTAGTAGAAGAAGCATCTTGTTAAATTTTGAATTATGAAAGAAAAAAAAAAAAGACTTGCAGTTTATACCTTTCAATTTTTATGAGAACATTTAAGTAATTGATGTAATATAAATATATAATTTAAAATATAATTTTCAATCAAAAAAGTTAATATTACATTCTCACAACTTCAACTAAACACATCAAATAATCTTATTATTGGAATAATATAAGATTCCGTGAACCAAACGGTTTCTAAGTAACTCAGACACTCTGTATCTGTAAGGAAGTAAATCAAGTAACCAATCCCTAATTTGTGTCCCACACTCCCCACTTCGTCACTCCCTCTCGTCTCCCACTGGCCATTGGCCACTCTCCCGCCGTCTGGTTGCTCTCCACCGGCGTCCGGCGGCCAACCACCACCAGGTCCAGTTCTGTTCAGGAGTAGTCAGCGGCATTGCGGCAGCGCTCTTCTGAGTCTTCTCTGTCTTCGCCAATTGCTGGCTCGCTGCTCCGTTTGCTCGTCCACCGGTAGGCAGTCGCCCAGTCTGTGTCCGTCTTCTTTTCTGCTCCTGGCCACCACGACTTCACGGCAGCCGTCCACCAGAGTACAAGGTCTGTTTTTTTTTAATATTTTCTAAACTATTAATACTTCATTGTTAACAAGTTTTGTTGTGTGAACTATTTTTATTTTTTTTGTTGCTAATAATAAAATTTTATTTTTTAAGTTTCCACTTTCCAGTGTATGTTTGAGTTTGTATGTTCTGTTACTCTATTTCCAGTGTATGTTACTGTGTATTTTCTAGACTGTTACTCTGTTTCCAGTGCGTCAATGGAATGCTACTTGTAGATGTCCTGTGTATATTTTTTATTTATTATTTTAGGTGATTTTTAAGATTTTAAATTTTAATTTTTAAAAAGTTCAATTAATAGGTGGTTAATCGGTTAATTGACCGATTAACTAAAAAAATTTTGATTCGATTAATTGAGTACGGTTCGGTTAACGGTTAACCGATTGAGTAACCTTAAAATTCCCATCTGTTCATTTTCCTCCCTTGCAAGTCAACCAAATGATTTTATAGTCAAAACCCCTAAAACCCTCCATGGTCTCAAAACAACTCCCACCTCCCTTTTGTTTTCGGTTTTCCTCTTTCCTTATTTTGCTCCCCACCGGCGGCGCCTATTACACCAGCGGGGTGGGGCCAGACTGTTCTCTACGACTTCCATGGAAATGCCCAACCGCGAAGGTAAATTTTGGATTTTTATTTTGATGTTGAAAGTCTAGCTCTTTAATTTATTTCTCAAAATGGACTTTGGTATGAACATAATGATTATGGAGAGCCTCAATAATTCGTATTTGATTCCTGAATCAAGTTTAAATTTTGAAATAACATTCTACAGTCATAATCCTCCATAGCTATGCTCGGTTCTGCTCAATAGATTTTTTTTTTTTTTTTTTTCCAAAAAAATTATATCAATTAAAGTTTAAGTTCTAGCAGAAGTTTTAAAGATTTTTTATGGAATTCCTTTAGAAACTAAATAGTAGTTCAATTATACTTATAAGGATCGATGTGTGGGAGCCGTGAGATTGATGAGTATGCCTTGATTTTATTGGAGGACACAACTGAATATAAGTATATTCCTGTATTTCTTCTTCTTCTTCTTCTTCAATGCAAATCTTTTTTTCTAACATGTTGCCAAGAAAGGAATAAACCAACCTGGGAAACAAATCCAAATCAGGCTGAATTTTAATGAATTATTTTTTGTGTTTGATTTAATATATAATTTGTTGGGTCTTACCTTTTCCTTTTCTGGTGGCATTGTCAATGTGCTGCAGGGTGCAGTTGGCAAAGGGATTGAACTGTTGCAAGTGTTATTTGTTCAGGATGTTGCGAATGTGGGTGCAGTCATGCAGTCAGCACCCTTTAATTGTTCTGGTAGCCTCATCATCTACATTTTATGCCCTTTGCAGTTAACTTGCTACCCAAAAACTTTTCTCTGTTCCAAGTTGAAAAATTCATACCCAAGAAATGGAAACAAAGTGTTAAAGTATCAGACATTCAAAACAATATTGAGTCCTTTGTTTCTAGTTCTCATGAACTTATCGTAGGGACTCATATGCCCTATGATGAATCTATGGTGGATTGCCTTCTTTTGACCTTGAAAAATTTTGTCAGTCAAGGCCATTTAGCAAAAGCTGTTAGAACTTTTGGTCTTATTCAGTTGCATGTACCCTTACAATCCCCATGTGACACAGTGCTACAGTCCTTATCATCTCTCTTGTTATGTTGTACTAACCTCAAGTCATTTAGTGAGGGTAAACAACTCCATGCCTACATCATTACTTCTGGCCTTGCACGCCATCGAATGTTGGTTCCTAAAATAGTCACCTTCTACACAACATTTGATTTACTTTTTGATGCTCACAAAGTGACTGAAACTTCAAACATTTTGCATCCTTTGCCCTGGAATCTCCTTATTTCTTCTTATGTGAAAAATAGGCACTATGAGGAAGCTCTATCCGCCTATAAGCAAATGGTAAGTAAGGGAATCTGGCCTGATAATTTCACTTATCCATCTGTTCTCAAGGCTTGTGGTGAACAGGTAAATCTTGCTTTTGGAAGGGAGGTTCACAAGTCTATAGATGCTAGTTCACCAGAGAAAAACTTATTTGTTCAGAATGCTTTAGTGTCAATGTATGCTAAGTGTGGGGAACTCGATGTTGCCCATGATATTTTTGAACAAATGCCAGTTAAGGATGAAGTTTCTTGGAACTCAATCATTTCTGGATATGCCTCTAATGGTATATGGATTAAAGCCATAGATCTTTTTGAAAACATGATGGCTAATGGTATTGAGTTAAATATTATCACTTGGAATACTGTAGCTGGTGGTTGCTCAAAAACGGGCAACTTTACTGGGACTTTTGAATTGCTCTCTCGGATGAGAAATTGTGGATTTCAGTTGGATCCTGTGGCTGTTCTTATAGGTTTAGGAGCATGTTCTCAGACTGGTTTGTTAAGGTTGGGGAAAGAAATTCACTGTTTGGCAATTCGAAATTATTTTGAGAATTTTGATAATGTAACAAATGCTTTAATCACTATGTATGCCAGATGCAAAGGTCTAAAACAGGCATATATTCTCTTTCAGTTGAAAGAGACAAAAACTATAGTTTCCTGGAACTCAATCATATCTGGTTTTTCACATTGGGATAAATATGAAGAAACATCATTCCTTTTCAGAGAAATGTTGTTTTCTGGCTTTGAACCAAATTTTGTGACAATTGCAAGCATACTTCCCCTGTGTGCTCGGGTTGCAAATCTGCAACATGGCAGAGAGTTTCACTGCTACATTACAAGGCATGAAGGTTTTGAGGAACAATTGTTATTGTGGAATGCTCTTCTGGATATGTATGCAAGATCAGGAAAAGTTTCTGTAGCCAAGAAACTATTTGACTCCATGAGGAAGAAAGATACAGTGACGTACACTTCATTAATAGCTGGATATGGTATACAAGGAAAAGGAAAAGCTGCAATTAAACTTTTTGAGGACATGATTAGGTCCCAGTTAAAACCAGATCATGTCACCATGGTTGCTGTTTTGTCAGCCTGTAGTCATTCAGGTCTTGTAATGCAGGGAGAGAAGTTATTTGAACAGATGCAAAGTGTTTATGGTATAAGTCCTCAACTGGAGCATTTTTCCTGTATGGCTGATCTCTTTGGGAGGTCAGGTTTACTAAAAAAGGCTGTACATGTTCTCAAGAAGATGCCGTTTGAGCCAACAGCTGCAATGTGGGCAACATTGATTGGGGCGTGTAGAATCCATGGAAATACCGAGATAGGGGAATGGGCAGCTGAGAAACTGCTGGAAATGAGGCCAGATAATTCAGGATACTATGTTTTGATAGCAAACATGTATGCTGCTGCTGGTTGTTGGAACAAACTAGCTAAAGTGAGGACCTTAATGAGGGACTCAGGTGTGAGGAAAGATCCAGGATGTGCTTGGATTGATATGGGAGCTGGATTTTCCTCCTTTATGGTTGCAGACACCTCAAACAGTCAAAGGTGTGAAATTTATTCTTTGTTGGGAGGACTGACTAGGCAAATAAAAGATGCTTCTTATGTTGCTAATGAGGAATCAACATTAAATGAAGAAGCTTATTAGGTCGATTGGGTAGAACTCAAAAAGGAACAAATTTCTCATTTTGAAGACTGAAACTATAGTGACAATTGATACACATTGCAGACAGGGGATATCTTGGTTTCAATGAAGGATGTGGCTCATTCAGTCATCAATTGATGATCAAATTCTATTGCAAAACTGGTAGCATTAGCCTGTTCACTACCTGCTACATTTGGGATCAGCTAGAACAAAGTAGATATGTGGTAATAGTCATTAGCGATGATTTCAAATCGGAGGTCTCTATGATAAATTGCTGTAAAAGATTCTTCAGTTTCTTTTGGGTAGAAGTCAGCATTCCTTGAAGAAGAGACAGAAAAATGTCTACCAGTGACAGATATGAGGGGGTGATTCCACAGCAGCACTACATAATCATCATTATGTAACAGCTTATTGGCTGTTATTATATTTCATGTTGAGGTAAAGGATACGCATATGATTTATGGTTTTGGACCTTGATTCTACTCATTCATTTTCTTAATTTTGCTAGAGTACTTAAATTATGCTATTTATGTGTTCCAGATAGAGTGCCAAATTCCTTTCAAGTAGAAGGAATGAGCAATCAACTCATAATTACTACATGCTTTAGAAGGCAATTTGGTGGGGCTACACTCATGGTGCAGAGACTCAGTCTGCATCATGTGAGCATCAAATACTAGCTAAATCCTTTTGAATGGTATTTTCTCCATTCAAGTTTCAACATGGATTAGTTAATTAAAACTGGAAAGGATAAGTTTACTTTAATCATTATTTCAGACATAAATCCAAATTCCTTAGCAAACTACAGAGTACTTGCACATTGGAAATATGGTGGTTGTATGCAAAGAGCATAGCTTAATTTTTAGTTTATTAGATAGTTAGAGGTTTTATAATTGACATTTGGTATAGAAAAATATTGGATCCATAGAAAACAAACATTTGTAAGTGCCTTAATTGAATGGTTGGCCTCAAAAGAATCCGTTTTTCTTTTTAGTATTCATCAACACATGCTACTGCTAGTATTATTGTTCTCAATGTTGCAAAGGTGCCTTACATTATATAAGATTTCCATGAGCTGAACTCTCGTTTTTGCATTACAATAAATGTTTCCGGTATGTTTTTTTTTATAAGTGCCAACATAGGTTATGTTATATTCCGTTGCAGCAACTTATAATGTCTTTGATTTATGGCAGCATATTGGCATTTATTTATGTATGATTAGTGCTTATTTATCTCCAGGTAGTCATAAATGATATCCAGAACTCATGGAAATTGAAACTTGAAAGCATCTTTTCAATAAGGAATCAAAGTACCATTGTGTGCTGTAGTATATAGTCTGTGCTGAAATGTAGAAAAATGGTAAGGGCAAACCTTCTTATCGGTTATTGGAAAAATGCTTTTTAACCATCTATTCTTTTCATATAAATACTTGGAGGGATAATGACATATAGGCAGTTGAATTCTGAAGCATTAGGTAACAATTTTGGGCCTAAATTAACTAAGCTGAGCTATAATTGATAGCTTGGCAAACTGGAGTCTAATGCCCCCACCCCGCCCTCGTGCCCTGCATAAATGCTAATCCTTATGCCATGGGTTGGTGTACACAGTGCACTATGGATTCTGGTGTATGTATGTGTCTTATGTTGTGAGTTTTTGTATCTTGTGTTATGAAATTCTGTCTTTAGAATATGAATCCTGTACTTGAAACAAATTAGTAATTGTGTCTTGTGTTATGAATTTATGTCTTGTGTTTTTAAATTCTGTCTATGAACACAAATTATGTACCTAAATCAGATTTAAAAAATAAACAAATATATAACACTTGTAATGTAGTAAATACCCTCAATGTATATTGCGTGTATGGAGTATGTATAGAAATTGTATGAGGAAAAATGGCCCGGAGAAGCCCTCTCTTCTTGAATGTCTAGAGAGAGTCATATCAGTAGAGACTAGAGAGAGAGAGAGAGTGGAGAGGAAATGGAAGGGGTCCCCTTGCCTTGTGTGGAATGGCCTTTATATAGGTTTAACTATTGACTTTGACTCAAATTGTTTAACCCTAACTCGACTACAAACCGCAGGCATGGAACGTACATGGAGGTTAAGCCCGGGGAATATTCATATGCCTACATATCCAGAGAACACTATGAACAAAGGCAGATCAACTCAAAACTGGTCAAGTTATATCTACAATAGCTACATCCCATCTTGAAGTCACTCAGAATTGCTGTGAAATCAGTCAACCCCTCCTCTTGTAAAGGAGGAAGTCCCTGGTGGACTTGTAAGGTAAGTTATGCCGATGAACATTTTGATTTTGAGTGTATTTTTTCACCGAGCAATTACTCGTGCCATATCACCATGTTGGTCGGCATCTTTGCCAAGACCAACCAAGCCAGTGATGTTTGTTGCCCTGCCCATCATTGCACACTCAGAGAATTAGGAGTTGTATGCTACACGCTTTCGCGAGATACCTGTTGGATTCCAGAGCAACTTCTTTGTTGCACTTTGTCATGCGAACCACGAAGAATGGAGTTTTCCTCTCCTAACCGCCAAAGAAGAGAGCACCATTCTTCGTGGTTCGCGTAACACAGTGCGGCGAAGAGGTTGCTCTGGAATCCAACATGCATCTTGCGGAACGCGTAGTGTATGAGTATTACTCATGATTCTCAGGGTGTGCAATGATGGGCAGGGCAGCATCATCGGCTTGGTTGGTATGGGCAAAGATGCCGACCAACATGGCGGTTTGGCGCGAGTAGTTGCTCGGTGGAAAAATACACTCAAAATCAAAATGTTCATCAGCATAAATTACCTTATAAGTCCACCAGAGACTTCCTTCGCAAGAGGAGGGGTTGATTGATTTTATAGGAATTCCAAGTGACTTCAAGATGGGATGTAGCTTTTGTAGATATAGCTTGACCAGTTTTGAGTTAATTTGTCTTTGTTCATAGTGTTCTCTGGATATGTAGCCACATGAATAATGTTCTCAACTACATCATGGGGAGTGTACTTAACGAAATTTTCGATCGCATCAGTGAAAGGAAGGGGGTAGCTCGCATTCCTTGGTGTAGGTGGGGCATGTTGCATATCAGGCAGCACGGTCCTGAAGTTCTGTGTGAATGGTGCACAACTTAGCACACAGTGCAGGCATTCACAATGATATGTATCGTCCTTTCAACTTCGGCATCAGTCGCTGCGAATGGTAAAGCTTTCACTTCAGATATGTAGTCATCACAATTGTAAAGGCTTGGCGGAGGTTCTCCACATGAATCTCATAATAACAGACAGTGGGCAGCCTCTGAGTGACGTCGGGCGTGGATCCAAGCATAGTAATGCTGGTAAGACCAGCAGTAAACTGTGGGTTGAAAGATAAAGATAACCATTCAAAGTTATGAGGGAATAGCTGAGTAGCGTGGGCTTCAGCGTCCATCATGATTAGGTTTGTCATTCGAAGCAGTAGAGTTGGCTCGGGATAGTGGGATAATTGCTCGGGAATCGTATAAATCAGAGCGCATGCGCTTGAGAGTATGTTCGGAACTACCTCCAGTCATGGTTGGTGACGGTGTAAAGATGAAAAACACACTGGTTACTCGATAATTTTACCTTTCATAAAAATCAATAACAGGCTCAGGTTAGTAACAGTGGGTGGAAGTTATAGCTGTGGACAAGAATTTAAACAAACAATTCTAACTAACCCCTGGATAATAATCGGTTTAGGTCAAAGTCAAATAGCTAAAGTCAATAGTTGGACCTATAAAAAGGAGATTCCAAACAAGGCAAGGGGCCCTTCCACTTCCACTTCCCCTCCACACTCTCTCTCTCTCTCTCTCTCTTTATCTCTCTCTCTACTGATATTACTTTCTCTCTAGACATTCAAGAAGAGAGGGCTTCTCTAGGCCATTTTTCCTCATACATTCTTCATACAATTTCTATACATATTCCATACACGCAATATACGTTGAGGGTATTTACTACATCAATGTGTATATGTCTTGTGTTGTGATTTTTTGTGTCTTGTGTTATGAAATTCTGTATTTTATAAGTAGGAATTTTGTATCTCATCGTTTCAATCCAGAGTCCACAACGCTATTTGGACCCTGGTCCATGATATAAATTGCCCATAAACGGTCCATAGGATAATGGCTGTAGGTATTACCCTCATTCAGCTATAATGGGGTCTGATGGTAAGTCTCCCACTATTTTGTGTGAGGATGATATGCAAAAGGTGGATGAGAAAGTTAAGTAAAGATATTGTGATGCATTTTGGGGCAAGGTCTACCATTGGAAGAGAGATATTAAGGGAGATTAAGCGATTGTTTACCAAACTGGAGAATTTTTTGGAAAAGCATAGAATTGAAGAAGTGAAAAAATGGAAAATGGAAAACTTGTTTACTAAAATCTATACTCTAATTGCTTAACTCTTCTTCATTTTCCCACTTCATGTACACTTTTCTCCAAATGGAGGGATGGAGAAAACACGGGTGAACAGTACACTTGGTCAAGAAGTCGTTGGTTTGAATGGCCTGCGATGCGCCTTTGCTTCAGTTTTTTCTTGCTATTATTATTATTATTATTATTATTATTATTATTATTGTTATTATTATTATTATTATTATTATAGAAATGTAAAAATGCTATATGGAATGATTGTATTTAATAAAATCATAAAATTAGAGAAATGAAAAACAGAGAAATGAAGTAAACAATCCCTAAATCTGTATTGCTTGTTTTTGAAAACTGATGAAAATCTCCAATAGGTTGTGACTGTTGTGGTAAAGTGCATATTTGGTTCTACTTGCCTTTGAACTAGGGATATGTGGTTTACTATGCCTTTGACTAGGTTCTACTACTCGAACTAATAAATCTCTTTATACTTAGTCTAGATGAGTAAATTCACCTTAATGTCAAGTGGAGGATTAGATTGCACGGACATTGGTGAGTAATATTACTCTTCATTTTATCTTGAATGTTTTTATTTTTTATTTTTAGAAAACACATAAAATTTCTCACTCCAATTCTTTCAAAAAAAAAAAAAAAAAAAAAAAAACAATTGCCAAAAGAAGAAATAAGTAGTATGCTTGGAAGCATTAATGGTGAGTGTTTCCATTTAGATAGTGTTGAACTTGAGATATAAATGAAGGATGTTCCAATATAACATTGGAAAAGTGAGAAAGGATGGGAAAACTGCTTAGAAAACAAGCTTAAATTTCCCAGACGACAAATCTGCATAGCCTACAAGTATCAGACACCAAAAAGAAGTGATGCCCTTTTTCTTTTGGGAACTTGATGCTTTCTGGTACTAAAAGACTTATGCTTTCTTTCCTACACTGCACATGTTCATGATATATAAATAATATTGGATAAAAAAAAAAAAAAAAAAAAAAAAAAAAAAAACAAGAATTCAAGAATAATAGGATGCCCACGTGTGCATAAGTTTTCATCTCCCTTCTCCAGTTAGCTCAGAATGAATCAGATTCCACCACAATCAACATAGACTACAGATGCAATATTCCAATTTCAGCATAGCATATTTATTTTATAAATAAAACAAATGCTTAAGAATCTCTCTTCATGCCAAAGAACTTGTGGTCGAGCGGCATAACTGTAGCTCAGCTCTCTCAATTGGAATGTCACAGGTTTGAACCGCTATGGGGGGCATTAACTCTTTGTGCTTCGGTAGGTTGAGAAAGTATGTATGGACAGATATTACAATGTAATTGAGTCAGTAGTAGTACTCCAAAAAAAAAAAAAAAAGAATATCTCTTCATCCTTAATTCCTTATTCTCAACATTTCATCCATGCCCTTTAAGATCATCCCCCTACCTTCATCCTCTCCCTTATTTGAAACTAATCATTCATTTTGGATTGCCTCTTCCACCTTCATGACTCACCATGACAGAGAAGGTAAAATACTTTCTCTATTTTTTTATTTTTTTTTTCAATCAAATTACAGAAATTATATATCTTCAATCCCAAGAAAGGAGCACTATGTTTAACAGTGATGAAAGCAGATATTTTGTTGCATGGTGATGAGGATCAAGATTGATTGCAATGGCTGTCTGATGAAAGTTAGAAAGGCACTTCTCAGTATTCCAGGTAAATATGTATATAGACTTGTGTTCAAATAAGAACACTCCCTTAGGTGAGAACATTCAAACATAGAACACACACACACATATATATATATATATATATTCCTTCATATTATATCATGTCCCATCTCTCTTTTTGATTTGTTCTTTTGCTAAGAAGCTGTATTTTTGTTGATGAAAAACAAAAAGAGTTGGAGAAGCATTTGATAGAGCAGAAGCATAGCAGAGTGAGTGTGTGTGGAAGATTTGTGCCACAAGATGTAGCAATCCAGATAAGGAAAAGGACTAACCGCAGGGTGGAGATATTGGATGTGCAAGAGTTCAATGAAATCCCAGAACACAAACAACCCCCCTTGTTCATAACTTCATAGTTCATCCATCCTCTCCCATCTTAATTGTAATCAGCTTAGCTTTCCTTTTCCTAATTAATATCTGCTACTGTACAATTTTTTTTTCTTTTTCCCTAGTGATATTCATTAAATTTTACATAGTTGAAACCTTGAAAAAGAGGTTAGCCTATTTATTAAGGGATACATGTTTTCCATGTAGCAAAAAGAAAGTAGGCCTGGGATGTTTTCTAAGGAACAGTTCCAATAGAAATAGTACAACACTAAGATAGTAACCCAGTCAAGAGAGTTCCAAATACAAACTTGTAACCATAAGGTCACGAGTTCGAACCCAATCTGTTTTGTTTGAGCTGATCAACTATGGGTAATTTAGGCTTGTTTATCTCTTTGTGATCCTTTGTCGGTTAGGGTCACAAGGCAGGATTTACCAGTGCATGCATATTCTCAGATAGTGATTGTGAATTTCTTTTATCATACAAAAAATATAGAGTAAATACCCAAAATGGTCCCTCGACTATAACTAAATTCACAAATTGGTCCTCAACTTTTAATTTCACCCAATTAAGTCCTTAACTTTGCAATTTTGACACGATTTGGTCCTCCATCTAATTGACTGTTTGTTGACCGTGATCGACGATCTCCAGAAGAACCTTCAGCTCTCGTCGGAGCACGTGGAGGCCTCCAGGATGACGTTGCACCGGTTCGGAAACACGTCGTCTTCTTCGCTCTGTACGAATTCAACTACATTGAATCCAAAGGGAGGATGAAGAAGGTGACCGGGTTTGGTAGATTGCTTTCGACAGTGGATTCAAATGTAACAGTGTAGTCTGAAAATGCAACCGGAACCTTAAAAAACCGACGATGGACCATGAAATTACATATATATCCTCAAAAATCACAGTCAACAAACGGTCAAATATACAGAGGACCAAATTGTGTTAAAATTACAAAGTTAAGGACTTAATTGGGTGAAATTGAAAGTTGAGGACCAATTTGTGAATTTAGCTATAGTCGAGGGACCATTTTGGGTATTTACTCAAAAATATATACCACTAAGATCAAAACTCTTAGTTATAAGTTCGAGCCTTATTAGGAAGATTTTAGTGTGGATTTGTTTTGATCAAACATGCATACACTCTTTTTGGGAAGAATAAAAGAAAAAAAAAGTTATTGGATAGTTAGACAAGTGGTCCAAGGTTTATCTTGAATTTTGATCCAAAAGAGGAACAACATGAGGTTTAGAGCATCCTCAATTGGATGTTAGCAAAAAATTTAACCATTCTTTTGCATTCCAGACACGCTCATATATAACCTATATCGGCTTGTTTGGTAAAAACTTGGCTTATAGGTCAATTTTGGCTTATTTGACCACTATTAATTATTTGATTTAATTAAAATATCAATATAAGTATTTGATTAATTAATTTTTTGCAACTCCAAAATGCTAAAATTCAAAAAGTTATTCTAAACAACTTTTTCAATTAGCTTTTTTAGAAAAGAAATTATACCAAATAGCTATCAGCTAATAGCTAATTTACCAAACACTTTTCTACAACAGCTAAAGTTATATATCAACTAGTTATACCCTCTAATTCACACAATCAGCTAACAGTCGTTTACCAAACATGACTATATCATATCATCAACGCAACCAAAACATGTTTAGTTTGACCTACCATACCTTTCATGTACATTGTTATACCTTAGCTTGTGATTAACTCCTCTTCAAATCATTTCCAAACATTACAACAGGAACATATCTAATTAATTCTCTATATCATATAATTTGATAAAAATCTCTTATCACTTTAATTTGAAGATAATATATAGATGTTTTGTAATTCATCACTCACGCGCGGGACGGGGAAAGTTATTTAAGAAAAATTCACAAACAAATACTGTTTTACAAGTAGCTGGCTAGGGAGCAGATTTTGAAGGTTTCAAGCACTAAACATTAAACATGAGTGAAATAAATGAAGAAGCTAAGGAGGATACATATAGGTAAACTGTAAACATATATACCTTACTTTTATTATTCATATATTGAAATATGGATCAACTCAAATATGTTTATCATTGCGAGAGCCCGCGAGGCTACCATGAATCATTGAAAACAAATTATTAGGATATGATGAAACTAAATCAAGTTTGGAAAAAAGAAAAAAAAAAAAAAAAGAGTAAGGGAGGGAGATAGACCAACCTGTATTGTGTCTTCCTCAATGACAACCATATTATAGTTTCTTTGCTCGTTGCTCTTTTTGAATTTCCTTGGCAGAATCCACCGCAGAAGGAAGACAACGATTCAATTCGATTGACTTCAAATTTGGAATTTCTGCAAACTCAGCTGGAATCTCTACCAGTTGCGTACACTTTATTAGGACTAGGCGCTCAAGATTTGGAAAATGACAAGCACTTGCTTCCCATAGCAACGAGCGAAACTAATTTCCAAATAAATTAGCTGGTCGAAATTCTCCTTCTCCAATAGTTTCCACACTCTACCGATGCACATACAACTGTTTATCCTTAGCACCTCAAGTTTAGGCAACTTGCTAAGAATATTAATTACCTCCCACTCAAATCTTAACTCCGTAAACCTCAACCTCATAAGGTTTTTCAAGCAAACAAGGTGGTTAATATTTGGAATAACCAACCGACGCCTTAATAATCTACCAAAAAGATGCAGAGTCTGGAGCTGGTGTGAATAGGCAACGTTATTAATGCAATCACTCCAACCATCTTCACATCGAATCTTCACCTTCTTTAGATATGGAATATTTGTTAATAATTCTTTTGTGCATTGATCAGGAATCAGCCCACAAATGCTCTTCAAGTTTTGATGAAAAAATATGGGAAAATCACTCAGACCTCTGGAACTACGCAAATGTTGCAGTTGTGGGAACTCTAAAAAGCTCATCTTATGAATACTAAAAGCTCCAAGTGTTTGAAGATTCCAACTAAATGGATCTGAAATGGTTAAAAATCGCAGCCATGACGATAATAGGCATCTCAAATGGACAAGATACGCCATATCACAGCCAATATTATAGAGTACTCTTAATAGGCCGCCAAATTTCGAATTTAAAACTATATTCTCCCCTCCTGCAAAATGGAAGATGGATCGACAGTTTTTAAAAGAAGAATATAATGTTTGTCCGTTAACTGTTTCTGATTGGATGCTTACCCATCGAAAATCTTTCAGAGGGGAACTAGACCCATTTTGGTAGACAACATGCAGAAGGTTCTCCTTTTTAGCCTCCCTCACACAAAAAGAATGCAATAAATCGTGAATTCTAAATGCTTTTACTTTTCTTCCACAACTGCTTGACTGACTTAAAATAATTAGGTTCCTATCATTGAGTTCTTGCATGCCCCTTCTAGCCACCACATCAAAGCTCATATCCTCAGATGCCTTTACGAGTCCTTCGGCAACCCATAACTTTACAATTTCCTTAACATGGATCTCTTCATCTTCTGGAAATACGCTCAAATATAAAATACAAGCCTTCAAGTTGTGAGGCAAGTGATTGTAACTGGATGACAATATCCTTGAGCATTCTTCATCAATTGTTGTTGTTGTTGTTGCATATGAATTTAGAACTTCTGCTACATTCTTCCACTCATCTAGCGTATGAAGTTGGGAAAATAAACCTCCAGCCACAACAATTGCCAGAGGCAATCCTTTGCATTTCTCAACAATGGGTCTCCCAATCGCCTCAAACTCAGCATAGCCAGATTTGTTTGCCTTTTCACAAAATAAATTCCAACTCTCAGTTTGATCTAACAATTGTGTTTGGTGAGAAAAGTCATTATTAAAGCTGATACTAGTAGCCACGTCTGCAAAGCGAGTAGTCAACAATACTTGACTGCCATTTGCATTATCAAGAAAGCAAGCTTTGACAGAATTCCACGCATCAATGCTCCAAATGTCATCTATCACAACAAAGTATCTTTGATGCATCAGATTTTGGTATAGTTGTTCAGCTAGCTGATCCTCTTGAGTGCCACTATCTACACAAACCCCCATTGATTCAAGTAGATCTTTGAGCAGTTGTAACTTATTATGATGCAACAACCCATGCTCGCTTGGCTGATTGAAGTATTTGAGTATTTTATATTTGAGTATTTTTATTTTTCAATATTATTTTGATGTTATGACTTATGAATTATCATTATTTCACTTATTTGGGTGTGTTATTTGCAATCGTTATACCGTGCACCAGGGCGCACATAGCACTCTGTGTCCTGCGCTTCCCAAAACGACGTGGTTTTGTTAAGTTGTTAAAAAAAATCCGCTGTTTTGAATGCACATAAACTCATAGCAGAATACACATAAACTCATAACAGAATACACATAATCTAACATAATACATAATACACATAAACTCTTAACATAATAAATATAAACTTTTAACTGAATACACATAATGGGTTTGGTTAACATAATACACATAAACTCTTAACTGAATACACATAAACTCATAACACCATAAACATAAAATTTTAACTAAATACACATAATGAGGTTTGGTCTGTTCGGATGGACGGAGCGATGTCAGCATGAAACGCGCGCGTTTTGCCTGGGCGCACATTGATATGTGCGTCGTGGTGCACGATATAAATAGCCTGTTATTTGATTGAATGTTGAAAATAGCCTCATTAAAATTTTCAAACTGCAAGTCTCCCACTATTTTTTTGGCGCCCGCCTAGGCGCTAGGATCTGCCCGGGCGCCCGACCAGCGCCTAGCACCTACTGCAACCATGCTGATAGCTATTAGTTGCTAGGTGATTGGGTTAATTAGAGGTATAACTAGTTGACAACATTAGCTGATTGTAAAAAGGTGTTTGGTAAATTAGCTGTTAGTTGATAGCTGTTTGGTATAATTTCTTTTCTCAAAAGCTAATTGGAAAAGTTGCTTTGAGTAGATTTTTGAATTTTAGTATTTTAGAGTACAAAAAAAACTAATTAACCAAACAATTATATTGATTTTTAAACCAAGTCAAATAACTAATAGTGGTCAAATAAGCTAAAATTGGTCTATAGGCTAACTATTTTTACCAAACAGGGCCATAGTAATTATTTGGTCAATGGTTTGAAGGGTAGTTGGGTGGAGAATAGAGGGACATGAGAGTAAGAGTGAGTATCGATCGATTTTCAGTTAATGACCTTCATAACTGATCCAAAATCGACTGACCAATCACAATAATCAATATAACTGAAACCGGAGATTCTTGGTTGGTTTCCGTGGGTTAAATATGACCGAATTTTTTATTGTAAAATAGCTAAATTTAGTTTATTTATTTGATTAATGCTAAAGGACTAAATTATTAAAGCAAAAATATATATATATATATATATATCTTAGTATTTATAACCCATTAAAATGAATATCCTCATACAATAGTAGTTTAGTGCGAAATAAATGGACTATATTTATACATTATATTGTTAACAATTGCAATGCAATCCAATAGGTCATTAAAATTAATATTGGGGAAGAATTAAAATTCATATGATAGACACCAAGCACCTTGTGTTCATATGACACTTTTGTAGCTCCGCTTGAGGGAAGGTCAAAAGACCGAACCCTGGTGATTGGGTATTGACTCTTTCGGCTGCTATACTTAAGGAAAGTATAGAACAATGTAAAATGATCAATTTTTTTGTGAATCCACAATTTTACCTCACTATATTTTAATTATTTCTTTATCTATTATCATTCTAAAAATTATAATTGTAATTATAATTATAAATTTGATAACAATATTATTGATAATAATAAATGTAATAATAATATTATTGATAATTAAGAAATTTTAATTTAATTAATAATTATAAATTTAATAATAATATTAAATTAAACAAATAAATGAAATTAATTTTTTTTAAAGAATGTTGATAAATCAAATTAAAATATATATATATATATATATATATATATATATATATATATATATATATATATATATATATATATATTTTAAAAAAAACGTAGCTGGCGGTTGCAGAAATCATGTTAATTTAAAAAAAAAAAAAAAAAAACATAGCCCTCTAAAACGCCCCACCTGGACCAAGCGCTCAATGGTTGGCTATGAGACACAAACACATCTCACTATTATGTTTTTTATTTTTATTTTTTTTTATTTTTTTTTAATCTGACAAAATCTCCATTTTGCATGAGCAACCCAGACTAAAAAACCCTTCCCTCACATTTGTTAAAAACTTCCCATCCTAGTTTTTACCATTTGAAAAATCAAGAACACTACCATATTGGAGATGCTCTTACAAACTTACAAGTTCAGAAATTACAACAAAATGACAAATGTTCAAATTACACCTTACAAGTTACAACTTAGTGACTTACAAATGTCCAAATGTTCAAACTGGCAATTGAACTCCATATGACCAAAATACCAAATGTTCAATTATCCAAATTACAACATAAAAGTTACAAGTTATAAGTTCAAAAATTATAAGTCAACAACTTCAGCAATCAGGATTCTTTGAAGGACTAGCCCTCATTAGTATAGCCACATCCCTACACACAGAAGAACCCATGTCTAAGGATGGATTGCACCGCACTTGGGATCCCCACTTGACGTTAAACGGAGGTAGGGCACCATGAGATATAAAGGGGTACTCAAAAATCCTAAAGCAAGAGCTGGTGAATATGGCAACAAAGCATTTACTCTCGGGGGAAGTGGACCTACCAACCGAAAAATAAGGCTTGGAAAAGACTTAGGTGGGGTTGAACCTCCCTCTCACGGCATAAGGAGAGGAAGCCAACAATTGTTTGGTGACCATTAGGGACAAGCTGGTCCGGAGCTATCTCGTAGTAGTTCAAAAACTCAACTAAGAAATTGTGGAGAGGAAACCGAAACCCCATCGCCATGGACAGTAGGTAAACTCCAAAATAAGTGTCTCGTCGGGGATTGGTAATATTAGAGTTAGGCTCGGGGGCGGGGGCGGGGGTTAAGAGAATGTCGAGGCCAACAAGACCTCGGGTTTCCTCAAAATCCTAGAGCTCTAATTAAGATCATATGGATTCTATGACGGACTTGTCGGTGAGAGAGTGGGAGGCCCCGCTGTAATATTTTCCCTAATAATATATATTATATATTATATATTATATATTAGGGCCTTAATTAAGTGGTGCAAGTTTACTAGGCTTATTAAGTGGTCTGGTTGGACTTAATAACTAGTAGTTATTAGTCAACCAAACTCTGTGCCTAATATAAACTTGGATTGATGGGATACAGGATTATGGATGTTAGCACATTCAGTTACGGTACTCAGACCGCTCAGTAGATACCAATACACCATCTAGGGTTCTGAGTCAGGTCTGAGGCAATACATGGCTAACGGTCTACCGTTAAGAGGCAACACAACAGGAACATCAACTATGGCTGGAGATCAACACGGCTACGCTTCCGCTATCATACGAGGTTAGGTTTCTCGTATACTATGGTTTATTATAGTTAGACTATTGTATATCTAACACCCGCCTCCTCTTTTTTCGAGTGAGGTTTTGGGACTTGGAAACTAGAATATGAGGAACTGCTACTAGTAACAGTATAAGGAAGATGGGAAAATTGTCAAAATAATGGGTAAGATAGTCATCCTCTGGAAAGTATTCCTTGTCATCACTAGGAAGGTCATCGTCATAAATTGGATACACCACATTCATTATAAAATCAAGGAACATTAACTTGGTCAACAAGCAGAAACACTCAGAGGCATGCCATCTAGCAAGATAGAGAGAACAGTCAGTCGAAAAAATTTATCAAGTCGCTCCTCGTCCACGGTTGAGAGACGCGCCTCGATCAAAGTAGCGCCCCAAAAAAATAAAGAAAAAAAAAAGAAATTTACCAGGCAAAGGAGTTTGGCAAGAGCTTGTGAAGAAACCATGATTAAAATTAATGAGTAGGATTTTATATGAAAAAGAGACACTGAAAAAGGAAAGAAAATATTTAGAAATAAAGGAAAAGGAAGGGAAAATATTTGGAAAATAAAAATATTTATGTATATAAAGAATCCTTGGATTCCAAAGACAAAATATCAATTTTAGTCCCTTGCTATTGTACATGTATCAAATTTGGTCATTAACTATTAATATTTTCAAATTAAGTGCATGACTATGTAATTTGTATCACATTTGATCCTTAACTATTAATATTTTCAAATTATGTACATGACTGTAATTTGTATCACATTTAGTCCTGACATCCAATTTTTGGTCAAATTTCTGGACAACTATTACCGGAATTTCAACGAGAAAAATAATATGTTATAATTAAAAGGGTATTTTCGACCAACTATTGCTGGAAAATTTATTTTTCTCATTGAAATTCCAAGAATAGTAGGTGGAAACTTGGCTGAAAAATTGGACGACAGGACTAATTGTAATACAAATTACATAATCATGCATCTAATTTTAAAATATTAATAGTCAATGACCAAAAATGATATATGTATTATAGTCAAGGGATCAAAAGTGAAAATTTATCGATTCCAAATTAATTTAGGAATTAGATTCCAAAATAATTTAGGAATCTACTACAGTTATTATTAGTCTCAAGCTAACTTGTCTATCCTCGCAACTCGGGAGTAGGTGGGCTAGTGACAACTAGATAATTGGGCAGGACACGATACCCGACCCAAGGAGACGAAGAGACACATAACAATCGCAACACACTTAAGAGGAGACCGTCGCCGGCATTTATTTTAGCACTTTATGCAGCACTTAATGTAGACTCGCCATTACTAGGAGTTCGTTACACTAAACAAAGTAGCCGTTGCACCTATAGTATAAATAGCGTGCCCTGTGATAGACGAGGGACACACTTTGATTCTTGTACGCAGAGTGCATAGCAATACTACTTTGCCTATTACTTCTATCCTAATATACTCCAATAACTTTATTAGCGTTAGAGCGATGCTGGGTATTGACTCTTTGGGCTGCAATAGTTAGAGAAAGTATAAAACAGAAACTACCTTATAATAGAGTCAATAGTACTTAAAAAAATAAAAAAAATAAAAA